TTGAGTACGCCAGTTATCGAAAATTCGAAAAATTTGAAAAATTAAATAATTTTAAAATAATTCCATCACATAAACAGTGATGTTTAACATAAAAAAGAATAATATATAAAATAGTCCAAATTTTATCAATCAAGGTCAAAATAATTTGAAGAAATTTCAGTATTTCCAGTGAATTCCAAAGAATTTCTTCTACACTCCGCGGTGAATTTCACTAATTCCAAAATAACTTTCGAAATTCCAGATAACAAATGCAACAAGAAATTATAAAATTTAGCACTAATTCTGGTTATTATCAACAGAATTCCGAAGAATTAGAAGGAATTCCAGTTTGTGTAAGACAATTATAAAAAATTCAAAAAAAATATCAAATTAAATAACTTTAAAATAATTCTGTCAAATTGTCAGTGATGTTTAACATAAAAGAAAATAATGTACGATGTAATTCGAGACTCTTTATTAACGAAAGTCAAAAGAATTTCAAGGAATTTCAGTATTTCCTGTGAATTTCAATGAATTTCTTCTACATTCCGGAGTGAATTTTGGTAATTACAAAATAACTGTCGAAATTCGAAGGAATTCAGTAAGAAATTACAAAATATACCAATAATTCTGATAACTATCATTAGAATTTAGATGCATTAGAAATAATTTCCAGTTTGAGTACGCCAGTTATGAAAAATTCTAACAATTTATACAATTAAATAATTTTAAAATAATTCCATCACATAAACAGTGATGTTTAAGATAAGAAAGAATAATATATATAATATTCCAAATTTTATTAATCAAAGTCAAAATAATTTCAAGAAATTTCAGTATTTCCAGTGAATTCCAAAGAATTTCTTCTACACTGCGCGGTGAATTTCACTAATTACAAAATAAATTTCACAATTCCAGATAACTAACGCAACAAGAAATTATAAAATCTAGCACTAATTCTGGTTAGTATCAACAGAATTCCGAAGAATTAGAAGGAATTCCAGTTTGTGTAAGACAATTAAAAAAATTCAAAAAAATTATCAAATTAAATAATTTTAAAATAATTCTGTTAAATTGTCAGTGAAGTTTAACATAAAACAAAATAATGTATGTTGTAATTCGAAATTCTTTATTAATGAAAGTCAAAAGAACTTCAAGGAATTTCAGTATTGCCTGTGAATTTCAATGAATTTCTTCTATATTCCGCAGTGAATTTCGGTAATTACAAAATAACTCTCGAAATTCGAAGCAATTCAGTAAGAAATTACAAAATATACCAATAATTCTGATAAATATAGTCAGAATTTAGATGAATTAGAAATCATTTCCAGTTTGAGTACGCCAGTTATGAAAAATTCGAAAAATTTATAAAATTAAATAATTTTTAAATAATTCCATCGCATAAACACTGATGTTTAACATAAAAAAGAACAATATATAAAATATTCCAAATTTTATTAATCAAAGTCAAAATAATTCCAAGAAATTTCAGTATTTCCAGTGAATTCCAAAGAATTTCTTCTACACTGCGCGGTGAATTTCACTAATTTCAAAATAACTTTCGAAATTCCAGATAACTAACGCAACAAGAAATTATACAATCTAGCACTAATTCTGGTTAGTATCAACAGAATTCCGAGGGATTAGAAAGAATTCCAGTTTGTGTAAGACAGTTATAAAAAATTCAAAAAAATTATCAAATTAATCATTTTAAAATAATTCTGTAAAATTTTCAGTGATGTTTAACATAAAACAAAATAATGTATGATGTAATTCGAAATTCTTTATTAATGAAAGTCAAAAGAACTTCAAGGAATTTCAGTATTTAGCTTGAATTTCAACGAATTTCTTCTATATTCCGCAGTGAATTTAGATAATTACAAAATAACTCTCGAAATTCGAAGGAATTCAGTAAGAAATTACAAAATATACCAATAATTCTGATGAATATCCTCAGAATTTAGATGAATTAGAAATCATTTCCAGTTTGAGGACGCCAGTTATGAAAAATTCGAAAAATTTATAAAGTTAAATAATTTTAAAATAATTCCATCACATAAACAGTGACGTTTAACATACAAAAGAATAATATGTAAAATATTCCAAATTCTATTGATCAAAGTAAAATAGTTTCAAGGAATTTCAGTATTTCCTGTGAATTTCAATGAATTTCTTCTATATTTCGCAGTGAATTTCGGTAATTACAAAACAACTCTCGAAATTCGAAGCAATTCAGTAAGAAATTACAAAATATACCAATAATTCTGATAAATATCCTCAGAATTTAGATGAATTGGAAATCATTTCGAGTTTGAGTACGCCAGTTATGAAAAATTCGAAAAATTTATAAAATTAAATAATTTTAAAATAATTCCATCACATAAACAGTGATGTTTAAGATAAAAAAAATAATATATAAAATATTCCAAATTTTATCAATCAAAGTCAAAATAATTTCAAGAAATTTCAGTGTTTCCAGTGAATTCCAAAGAATTTCTTCTACACTCCGCGGTGAATTTCACCAATTCCAAAATATCTTTCGAAATTCCAGATAACTAACGCACCAAGAAACTATAAAATCTAGCACTAATTCTGGTTAGTATCAACAGAATTCCGGAGAATTAGAAGGAATTCAAGTTTGTGTAAGAGAGTTATAAAAAATTCAAAAAAATTATCTAATTAAATAATTTTAAAATAATTCTGTGAAATTGTCAGTGATATTTAACATAAAGCAAAATAATGTGTGATGTAATTCGAAATTCTTTATTAATGAAAGTCAAAAGAATTTCAAGGAATTTCAGTATTTCCTGTGAATTTCAATGAATTTCTTATATATTACGCAGTGAATTTCGGTAATTATAAAATAACTCTCGAAATTCGAAGCAATTCAGTAAGAAAGTATAAAATATACCAATAATTCTGATAAATAATCTCAGAATTTAGATGAATTAGAAATCATTTCCAGTTTGAGTACGCCAGTGATGAAAAATTTGAAAAATTTATGTAATTAAATAATTTTAAAATAATTCCGTCACATAAACAGTGATTTTTAATATAAAAAAGAACAATATAGAAAATATTCCAAATTTTATTAATCAAAGTCAAAATAATTTCAAGAAATTTCAGTATTTCCAGTGAATTCCAAAGTATTTCTTCTACATTCCGCGGTGAATTTCAACAATTCCAAAATAAGTGTAGAAGTTCCAGATAACTAACGCAACAAGAAATCATGAAATCTAGCACTAATTCTGGTTAGTATCAACAGAATTCCGAAGAATTAGTAGGAATTCCAGTTTGGGTAAGACAGTTATAAAAAATTCAAAAAAATTACCAAACTAAATAATTTTAAATGAATTCTGTCAAATTGTCAGTGATGTTTAACATAAAACAAAATAATGTATGATGTAATTCGAAATTCTTTATTAATGAAAGCCAAAAGAATTTCAAGGAATTTCAGTATTTCCTGTGAATTTCAATGAATTTCTTCTATATTCAGCAGTAAATTTCGGTAATTACAAAATAACTCCCGAAATTCGAAGCAATTCAGTAAGAAATCACAAAATATACCAATAATTCTGAAAAATATCTTCAGAATTTAGTTGAATTAGAAATCATTTCCAGTTTGAGTACGCCAGTTACGAAAAATTCGAAAAATTTATAAAATTAAATAATTTTAAAATAATTCCATCACATAAGCAGTGATGTTTAACATAAAAAAGAATAATATATAAAATATTCCAAAATTTATTAATCAAAGTCAAAAAAATTTCAAGAAATTTCAGTATTTCCAGTGAATTCCAAAGAATTTCTTCTACACTCAGCGGTGAATTTCACTAATTACAATATAATTCTCGAAGTTCCAGATAACTAACGCAACAAGAAATTATAAAATCTAGCACTAATTCTGGTTAGTATAAGCAGAATTCCGAAGAATTAGAAGGAATTCCAGAGTGTGTAAGACAGTTATAAAAAATTCGAAATAATTATGAAATTAAATAATTTTAAAATAATTCCGTCAAATTGTCAGTGATGTTTAACATAAAACAAAGTAATGTATGATGTAATTGGATATTCTTTATTTTTGAAAGCCAAAAGAATTTCAAGGAATTTTAGTATTTCCTGTGAATTTCAATGAATTTCTTCTACATTCCGCGGTGAATTTCAATAATTCAAATAACGCATTGTAACGATCAATATAAATTCGGTTAATTCGAAGAAATTCTATTTTGTGCTTAATTATATAATTAATTGGGATTATGTACAAGAAAATTCCAAATTTCGTTAATTCCAAATAATTCAGTACCTATAGATAAGTACACTGGCGATCCTCTCAAAAAATGCAATAAAATATAGGAACGTATTCAAATATAATTCCCCAGAATTTCAAAAAATTCCCGTGAATTTTGAAGTACCTAAAAAAAATTCCAAAAATTCCATTGTTTAAAACAGAATCCTGGAAAGATGAAATAAACAAATGTATTTAAGTGTTTACGTATTACGTGTCTTTTTCAAAGACTTTCGTACGCCGCTGGCGGTGATATATTTTTCCCATTAAGCAAGAATACAACGATGACAATATAAACACGGTTGCAATAATTCCACCAACATCAACAAATTTTATATCTAATTTATATCCATAAACATAAACAATGATGACTCAAATGAGCAATTACAGCACTAATTAGAAACAATGTACATTTATTTTTTCGTCACTGAAACCCCAATAAATCACCTACGCCTCTGTTTATTAATTAAACCACGAGCTTAACACCTTCAATCCTCGCTTCGCTACCCACAGCTCTCTTCCTCTCCCATCATTAAAATCACTCCAATTCCCAACCCAAACCGCCCATCATAAATCCCAAATTTCCCCAGTTAATCACACTCCCATAAATCCTCCCCAATTCCCCCCTTCAAGAAGCCATCACACGCCATAAACAAGCAAATGCGTCACCACAAAACTCAACTTTGACTCACAGTTTAGCATTATTAGCAGCTTCCACGGTTATAAAACCGCCAGCGCGCCAAAGCAAACTCTTAGTAGAACTTGAGTCTCCGCGTAAACATGAAACCCATCGTTTTCCTCCTCCTGGCGACCTTCTTCGGCGGCTCCACCCAGCAAGGAGTCCGCTTCTACGTCATCCGCCAGTGGAAGTACATCAACTTCACCTGGCCCAACGAAGACGCCCTCAAGACCGCCACCGCCAAGGGGCTCTACGTCCCGGAGAACGTCGTCGTCTCGGGGGTGAAGTACCACGACGACTTCTTCTACGTGACGCTCCCGAGGATGAAGGAGGGGGTCCCGGCCACGCTGACGCGCATTCCCGCGGGACAAGTCCAGGACTACGCGCCCGACCTGGAGCCGTTTCCCTCCTGGGAGATGAACGACGTGGAGGACTGCATGAATTTGCAGAACGTGCAGAACGTGGAGATCGACGCCAAGGGGCAGATGTGGATCATTGATGGGGGGAGAGTGCAGACGTTGACGAAGCCGGTGGTGAAGTGCCCGCCGAAGTTGGTTATTTACGATGTGAAGGGGATGAGTGTTAAAGAAGTGCATCAGTTCCCGGAGGAGGTGGCGTCGAGGAACGGGAGCTTCCTGTACGACCTGGTGGTGGACAACACGGACGAGGGGTTTGCGTATATCACGGATAACAGCGCGCACGATCCAGGTGAGGCAATCGAGTGGGAGATCTGGATGTGGGTGGCTTTGTGTGGGAACAATGGGGAAAAAATGTTTTATATACAGGGAGTACAAAAAAAATAAGATAAGTTCCTTTTTTTTTTTGTTGAACATTTTATTAAATTTAGTACAAGAACAGGCAAGAGAAAATCTACGCGTTGAGAAATAAGCAAAATTATGCCGTATTTCCCACACTCATGATTCCATTATTGTTATTAAGCACACACAAGTTTTTGTTATCTTTTGTGAAAAATTTGTGACAAATAAAACTAAGTATATTGTTTCAAAGTAAATTTTAACTCCAAGAAAAAATTAAACAAATATGTTGCGGTCTAACAGTCGATTATAGGTTATTATTGCTAAAGTAATAATATAAAGCGGATTCATAAACCACAAGTATAAACACGTATGTTATTTTGGAATTTTAAATAACATGTTTTACAATGCAAGATTCTGAGGTGACGATCAGACAAATTTTGGTTAGGTTTTATCATTTGCACGGTAATCTTAAAATACATACAAAATTTGACAATAATCGGTTCGGTAGTTTTGGAGATTATCTGTAGTAAAAATTAATTAGAATGGAAAAAAGTATAAATCGATAATAAAAACAATAGAACGCCTGTAATGATAAAATTCGACGTAGTGTCGCATAAACGGGAAAAAATTAATTAATTATTATAATTATTTTAATTACTTTTTAAATCTATTCAGTCATCATGATTAAGGATTATGAGTAATAAGCAATAATTAGATACGGCGGTAATTACAGGAAAAGTAAAATTATATTTTTTATTTATTTCTCGCAGGTGACGGTTTGTTTTTATATTTTTAATCAATAAAATAAATCACACAAGAGTAAAAATAAAAAAAAACACAAAGGAAGTGAACAGAAGAAAACCAAAAAAAAAAAGAAAAAAATTGGTCGAATTATAATTTTTCTTTCCGACTTTCTGATAAGTGACTTGAATATTTTATGACTTGGATTTTCCAATTTTGCATTTTTTTTTTGTTTCTTCAGTTTTTCGATTTGCCATTTCTCGAGTTGCCATTTTTTTTTTTCAATTTTACGTTTCTTCAATTTTGCGATTTGTTATTTTCAATTTTTCATTTCTTTTGTTTTCCCAAATTTTAGATTTTGCAACTTTTCAATTCATCAATTTTTTGTGTTTTCAATTTTTCGATTTTTCATTTTACAATTTTTCAGTTTTTCGATTTTCGAACTTTTTGATGTATATTGTGCAATTTTTCGATTTGCAGTTTCATGAATTTTCAATTTTTTGATTTCTAAAACTGAAAAAACCAAAAAAAAATCTAAAAGTTCAAAGAAGAAAAATCGAACACCGAAAACTTGCAAATCGTAAAATTGAAAAGTCCAAAAATTGAAAAATCTCACATTGAAAAAACGAAAAATTATAAAATCAGAGCATTGAAAAACCAAAAAATTGTGATTAAAAAATTGAAAAAAATGGATATTTAAAAATCGGGAAAATGAAAAATTGAGAAAACGAAAAATTGAAAAATCGAAAAATTCAAAATTGATAAATTAAAAAACAAAACTAAAGAACTTGAAAAACTGAAGAAACGAAAAAGTGAAGAATTTGTAAGTCGGAAAACTAAAAAATTGAAAAAATGAAAGTTGAAAAAAAAAATTGTAAAATTAAAAATCCAGAAAATGAGAAATTAGAAATTAAGAAACAAAAGAACTGAAAAATCAAAAAATTGGAAAAACGAGTAATTGAAAAACAAAAATAAAGAACTTGAAAAACTGAAGAAACGAAAAACTGAAAACTGAAAAATTGCAAATGGGAAAATTGACAAGTTCAAAAACTAAAAAATTTCACACTGAAAAAGCGAAAAATTGAAAAAACACGCTTATAAAACCGAAAAATTACGAATCGAAAAATTGATAAACCGAAACCTTGAAAAATCGAAAGACTAAAAATTGAAAAAGTTACAAATCGAAAAACTGAGAAATCGAAAAAAACGAAATATTGTAAATCGAAATATTGAAAATTAAAGAAATCGGAAAATCGGGTAACTGAGAATACCAAAACTTGGCAAATTGAAAAACCAAAGATTGAAAACATGAAAAATTGAATAAACAAAATATTATAAAAACGGAAAGGAAAGGAAGTGAAAAAATTGGTCTAAAGAGTTTAGACAGTACTTCCCTCGCTGTCGGAAACTTGACGACTGCATGCCTATTGTGTTTTTTTTCTCATTACATTTTTGTAGTGGGAATTAAAAAAAAAATTGCGATGACGTCATCAACATTTTTGCAAGGACACCTATATCAGTTGGGATAGATGTAGTGTAATACTAAGAATAAAATTATTATATTCTCAAATTTTCGGGAAAATGAATAGGGTCGTTTTGAATATTGATTTGTAATAATCAATAAAATAACGAAACAATTTACTCACGTATACGTATCAGAGGCAACTGAAAATCGTGTATGTATAAACATTCTTAATTTAAGATGACAGGCGTAACAGCATACGTGAGAGTCAAACAGAGAAACTGTAAACAAAACGACCATCGGTTTTATTGCTTCGACTTCCGCTTATTATATAAAACATTGGGTTTTATTTTAATTCTTGACGGTGAAATTCACAACTGGTTGATTATAAACATGTCTATTTCACATTCGCGGAACCAAGTGAACGCATAAAACAAATGCAGGTCTGTAATGTTAAAGTCGATGTAAATAAGCGTGCTACCCTTATGTTTCAACCGAGTTTTTCCTTTAACAAATTTTGTGTCTACCAAATTGGGTTGGTTGGGGTGTAATACTAATAATAAGTGTTGCCTTTAATTTAATCAATAAAATAAATTGACTTCATTAATTTTTTTGAACCACCTCTTAAGAAAATCTAAAAAATATGAATGGAATGATAAATCCCAAGTACAAACTCATCATATTTTTTGCATTTTAGATAGGATTTATTCAGCAAAATTTAAGGGTGACGTCATCAATTTTTTTAGGAGGGATGAACAAATACATTTTGAACAAAAGTTTACCATGCTTATAATAACTTTAAAATATTCCCAAGATTTCAAAGCATTCGGTTTTCTAATTCCTGATTAAATCGATAAAATAAATTCACGCCTTCATTAATTTTTTTGAGTCATCCTGCATATGCAAATCCAAAAATATGATTGGAATGATAAATCACAAGTACAGACTCATCATATTTTGTACATTTTAGATACGATTTATTCGGCAAACTTTTGAGCTGACGTCATCAGTTTTTTGTAGAAGATAACCAAATATATTTTGACTAAAAATTTATTATGCTCTTTATAACCTTAAAACCTCTGCAAGATTTCAAAGCATTCGGTTTCGTAGTTCCTGATTAAATCAATAAAATAAATTTACGCATTCATGAATTTTTTTGAGTCACCCTGTATATGCAAATCGAAAAAATTTGAATGGAATGATAAATCACAAGAAGAGACTCACCATATTTTGTACATTTTAGATAGGATTTTTTCAGCAAAATTTTGTGGTGACATCATAAATTTTTTAGGGGGGACGACCAAATACGTTTTGATCAAAAATTTACCATGCTTATGATAATTTTAAAATACCTTCAAGATTTCGAAGCATTCGGTTTTGTAGTTCCTGAGTAAATCAGTAAAATAAATTTACGCTTTCATTTATTTTCTTGAATCACCCTGTATATGCAAATCCAAAAAATATGAATGGAGTGATAGATCACAAGTACAGACTGATCATATTTTGTACATTTTAGATATGATTTATTCGGCAAATTTTCGAGCTGACGTCATCAAGTTTTTGGAGGGGATAAGCAAATATATTTTGACTAAACATTTATTATGCTCTTTATAACCTTAAAACATCTGCAAGATTTCAGAGCATTCGGTTTTGTAGTTCCTGATTAAATCAATAAAATATATTTACGCATTCATTAATTTTTTTGAGTCACCCTGTATATGCAAATCCAAAAAATACTAATGGAGTGATAGATCACAAGTACAGACTCATCATATTTTGTACATTTTAGATATGATTTATTCCACAAACTTTTGAGCTGACGTCATCAAGTTTTTGGAGGGGATAAGCAAATATTTTTTGACTAAAGATTTATGATGCTCTTTATAGCCTTAAAACATCTGCAACATTTCAAAGCATTCTGGTTAGCAGATTAAAAATTAAATTTCAAAATGTTGTTTTATAATTTTGATTTTTTTTCCAAAAATCTGGACGTTTCGGGTGAAAAGTCGATTCAGAGTTGTAAACTACATGTGTAGGACTATGTTATTTTATACAATTGAAAACCCATTTACTATGTACAATTTTGAAGTGACGTCATCGCATTAGTGGTGGGGATGACTAGACAAATTTTGGTTAGCGTTTTACCATCTACATGATATTCTTAATATAAGTACAAAATTTCACAACAATCGGTCAAATACTTTCGGAGATTATCTGTCTAATAAAAATCCGGGACAACAGACGGACAGACGGACAGACGGACAGACGGACGGACAGACGGACGGACAGACGGACAGACAGACGGAAATGGGAGACCTATTTCTTCGTCTTCTAGGGGTCATGAAAGATCGAGAAAACGTAAAAGTAGAGAGTCGGCCGACGGACTCGATTACAATACTTCCTTTGCTTACGCTCGGGAAGTAAAAACGAAAAATTCTGACAAAAATTCATAAAATGAAGATTTAAAAATCGGGAAAATTAAAAATAAAAATCTAGAACTAGAAAAACTGAAAATTAGAAAAATTAAAAATTCAGTTCAAAAAAAATTATAAAACCGAAACATTGAAAAACCGAAATATTGTAAAATTAAATAAGAATGGAGAAAATGGGAAATTATAAATTAAGAATCGAAAAATTAAAAAATCAAAACATTGTAAAATAAAGAAACTCAAAAACAAAAATAAAGAACTTGAAAAACTGAAAAAACTAAAAATTGAAAACTGAAAAATTGAAAACTCAAAAAATTT